AGTTTTTATACAAAACTTTTCCTTTATACAAATTTTAGCAATTTGTCAAATGAAAGGGGCTGAAAGGCAGTAGGAATATGGAATTAAAGCCTAAAACTGGTGGTGTTTCTGGGGAGATATTTGCTTCCTTTTAAAATCTGAGCTGTTGGAGAAAAACACATATTTTGTATTAAAATCTCAGAAATGTCATATTTCCTATAAAAAACTATATCTTTTTATCATTCCACCCTAAGAGTGATAAATGACTTTTCTCTAGAATATAAAATGACTCACCCTGTGCTAAGGTAATAGAAAGTGATTTCCCCACACCTAAGTTCTTACAATAGGATATTGTCTCTGTGTCTCCAATCCACCTATTGATAAGGACTGACCTCGAATGCACCTATCAGAGAAAAATGGAGACACTGCTTTCTGTCTCAACAAATTCTTTTCTTTGGATAAGGTCTTAACTAAGTGGTCTTTGAATCAGTTTTATTTTATTTGACTGAACATTTAAAACAGTCAAAATTGTAATAGTCCAAATTGTATTCAGAACATACTATATCTAAATTCCAAGTTCTTTACCACTGACTCAAACATTTATTTTACATACTTGATTCCTATAAGTATTTTATTTGAAGCTCATATATCTGTCAGAGAAGATATTTAGATAGTCGTTATTAAAGTGTCTTTTAAATACTTATATTTAAACTCTGCAATAGCAGCAAGTGCTATTAACTCCTGTTACATTTCTCCAGCACCATATTTTTGATCATATTAATAATGCATTTTGATCATATTAATCACTTACTTTCCCCCTTACTCCTTGCACAGCCAAGCTCACCTCCCCACTCTCTCCCAAATTAACACCCCACCTTCTTCTCTTCTTTTTCTTGTTCTTGTTCTTCTTGTTCTGTTCTTCTTCTTCTTCTTCTTCTTCTTCTTCTTCTTCTTCTTCTTCTTCTTCTTCCTTCTCCTTCTCCTCTTCTCCTTCTCCTTCTCCTTCTCCTTCTGTTCCTTCTTCTTCACCTACAGAGTATAATTTGTGCTGCCAATATACTCTGAGATGTGTGGCCTTTCACTCCATTATGGTTGACCAATTAGTACCATAAAGAAAACTGACACTCCCTCCTAGAGAAGCCATCAACTGTCCATAACTCCTGAAGGTTAAGATGGAACTAATGAGCCCTAACCCACTAAAATTTAGATTGTTCACTGGCTTGATCTTGTGCAGGTCTTATGCAGGCAACCACAGATGCTGCACAGCTGCTTTGAGTTTTGAGTGCACCAGTCCTGTCATATCCAGATAACAGTCTCATTCCACTCTAGTCTGCCCCAACTTCTGGGTCTTATGATCTATATGCTTCTTCCTCTTCCACAATGTTCTCTGAATCTGGTGACATTTATGTGTGTGTGTGTGTGTGTGTGTATGTACATATATATGATGTCATATGTGTATATATGACATTTTTATTAATCTTCTCATTACCAAATCTCAGGGAATATTGAGAAAGAAAAGGCTGACAAAATACAAGAGTCACATTATTTGGCGGTTACTTTAGATCACATAATGGCCATTTATTGTCCAGTTCTGTGTCATGGAAAAAGTCCTTATGACTATCAGAAATGTATTAGCTTTGCATATCTCCAGTTTCCAACACAAAAGTTATGACTCCTTAGAGAGCACCTGGAATGACCAAAAGTAGTTCTCTCACTTTGCTATATAACCCACATCCCTGATTTTTCCACTCATACAAGGAAGAAATGCCTTCATTTTTGCTCACTTCTGTCCTAGTACTGTAAAAATATTTCCTTATTGAAATCTGATATTTGGGGTAAACCAAATATGTGTTTTAGGACCATAGT